AGACCTACATATCGTGTATCAACGTCGATTATGAATCGTCCCGGGTTGAGGATTTCTGGGACATACAATTGAACGTGAGCGGGAACAAGAACCTGGACGACAGCTTCAAAGACTACGTGCAGGTCGAGACCATGGACGGCGAAAATAAGTATTTTGCAGAGGGTTTTGGGTTGCAAGACGCTAAAAAGGGTGTCATCTTCGAAAGTTTCCCGCCAGTGCTACATCTCCAGCTGAAGCGCTTCGAATACGACTTCACGCGCGACGCCATGATGAAGGTGAACGACCGTTACGAATTCCCCGAAGTGTGGGACGCTGCGCCATATCTCTCCGACGGAGCCGATCGATCCGAATCCTGGATATACCACCTCCACGGCGTCTTGGTTCACAGCGGTGATCTCAACGCTGGTCACTATTACGCCTTCCTGAAGCCAACGAAAGACGGCCACTATTACAAATTCGACGACGACCGTGTGACTCGAGCGACACTACGTGAGGCGCTGGAAGAAAACTTTGGTGGTGACTACGCCCAGGCCAACGGGAACACTGGCCAACGCAATCCCTACACCAGAGCCTGGTCCGCAAAACGCTCAATGAGCGCCTACATGTTGGTATACATTAGGGAGACGAGGCTTGATCAAGTTCTTATAGACAGCAAGGCGGTAGAACCACCGAAGCATCTGGCAGAACGACTGGCTGAAGAACGGGCATTATTTGAGCGCAGGAAGAAGGAACGCGAGGAAGCTCATCTCTACATGGACGTTGCGGTCGCGTCAGATGAACAGTTCAAGGCCCACCAAGGTTTTGACATCGTTCCATGGAAAGCCGACGCAGACACACCTGCTAGCCCAAGGGTCTACCGTGTGCTCCGAAGCACAACTATGGCCAACTTTGCAGTTACGGTCGCCCAAGATCTAGGAACCGAAGCCGATATGTTGCGGCCATGGTCGATGGTTAATAGACAAAACGGCACGATTCGCCCCGATACCGCACTGGAATTCCCGGAGATGACCGTCGAAGAGGCTGCAAGTAAACATGGCACGAAACAGTCGCAGTTCAGGATGTGGATCGAGAAAGCTCAAGAACGCGACGAAAGCGGCGCGCCAGTGTTTGGCGAGAAGCTAGTGGACCTCAAGGGTCAGGCTAACAACCGACCATTGATGATCTTTTTGAAGCACTTCGACGCAGAAGAGCAGAGTCTATTCGGTGTTGGCACCTTCTACGCCGGATTCCAGGACAAGGTTTCCGATCTAACTCCAGCAATCACAAAGATGCTGGGCTGGCCAGCGGGTACGCAGATCAAGCTTTCTGAGGAGATCAAACAGAATATGATCGAAGCGATGAAGCCAAAAGTCACACTGGCAGCCTCGGAGATACAAGATGGTGACATCATCACGGTCCAGCGCGTACTGAGCGACAAGGAAACCGCACAGATAACCACTGCGGGAGGCTACACCGAGGCAAAGGAATTCTACGACTACCTCTTGAACAGAGTCAGCATCGAGTTCGTGCCTAAACTGCCTGATACAGATCTACCCACATTCTCCTTGACTCTCAGCAAAAAGATGGCGTACGACCAGTTCTCCAGCAAGGTGGCTGAGTACCTCAAAACCGACTCTAGCTATATCCGCTTCTCGACGGTTAGCACTGCCGGCAAGCCTAAAAACCCTGTCAAGTACAACCCCACGTCAACTCTGAACAACATCCTCTTCCCTGGCCCATACAACTATTCGGCAAGCGCAAATCAGCGAAACGATGCCCTGTTTTACGAGGTCTTGGATATGAGCCTGAAGGAATTAGAGCTGAGGAAACCTGTAAAGGTGGTGTGGCTCCCTGAGGGTCTCAGCAAAGAGGTGAGTTGAACACAGTGATTGTTTTTGCTTCAAACTAACGTCATACAGGAGGAGCACGTTTTGATGGTACCCAAGAATGCCCAAGTTGCGGATCTCGTTGAAGCGCTGCAAAAGAAAGCGGGCATCAGCGACGAGGTGATGCAAAAGGTGCGGGTCTACGAGGCACATGTGAACAAGTTCCACAGGGTCCTCCCGCCAGATCACTCTGTCATGAGCCTCTACGACTACACGTCAATCTTTGCTGCGCCTTACCCCGAAGACGATGCATCGAAGAAGATTTCGGTATTCCACTTTGACAGGGAGCCATCGAAGGCACATGGTATCCCGTTCCAGTTTGCGCTGAAAGAGGTACGCGCAGCCATCACCCTACCTCCTCTACTTGCACTAATATACATCAGGGCGAGCCTTTTAGCGAAACAAAACAACGACTCTCAGACTTCACCAAGATCAAGGGCAAGCAATTGGACAAGATCAAGTTTTCTCTTGTCGGCAAGGGTCAATACGCGAAGCCTGAGCCAATCGATGACGGTAAGCCACTTTGGCAATGGCGATATTGCAGCACTGACGAAGTCACAGATGAAGTACTTTGGGACTTGGTAGGTGCGCGTGACGATGTATCACTTGGTCTTGAACACCCCGCCAAGACAAAGACGCTTTGGGGAAAGACTGATTCCATCTTCATTCGTTGAAGCAGCGCAATGACTGTGTAAGATACGAAGAAAAGCACGGTGCGCGACATTACTCGGCACGGGTACGATCGGCATGAGATTGTCCGCAAAGTTTTGCCAGCATTTCACAAGGAGTGGCAATAAAGCGTTGGTTGCGCACAATCCAACATACATGGCGCAATGGAGCTTGAAATATTGCAAGTATTGCATAGGCGGAGTAGCGTGCGTGGGGGGTTGGCGCAGGCGTTGGGCACATGATTATGGCGTATCATTTTGGATCAGTAAGTAAGCAGTGTAGATTAGTCTCAAAGATATCATCATTCTGCTTTCATGTCACCAGTGTAACTTGCACTGTGATTGTCGACTGAATTTTCCACCCATCCCATGGTACCAGACACCACGCACCTATCCGGGAAGGAACAACGTAACAATATACCACGGCTTTCAATTCCGAAAACAAAGATAAAAACTATTAGCTGTCGCAACAGGTTCATATGAACGCGCAACATGATAAGTATGACTTGACTACGCGTCGAGGATCTGCATTTCGCGCTACCTGTCCGCGGTCGCCTTGATCTTCATTGGCTGGTGGCTCGTTCCCCGCGCCTTCCCTCCCTGCATGCGTTGCGTCGGCAAAAACTACCGCCGACGTTCGATGTCGACAGCTGTAACTTCCAACACACGAGCACGCATCAACAAACGCAGTCGTCCACGCCAACGAACACGATGCGGTCACTACTCACCCTCTTCAGCGCGTTGCTGGCATATACCACGGCTGTGTACGCAACCGCTCTCACCTACCGATTAGAAGCACACGAGAAAGCATGCTTCTTCGCGACCGTTGAGAACAAGGGGACCAAGCTGGCCTTTTACTTTGCAGTATGTGTTCCACCCAGAAGACCAATGCGCAATTGCTTTGGGCTGTTCAAACCCACACTGTCATACAGCAGTAGCAGGATCCAAGGACAATCGAGCTGACGGACATGCGAACAGGTGCAATCCGGAGGCTCTTTCGATGTCGACTACTCGGTTGTCGGCCCCACAGACAAAGTCATTCTCGACGGCACCAAGGAGCGACAGGGCGATTTTGTCTTCACAGCGCTTGACGTGGGCGAATACCGCTTCTGCTTCAACAATGAGATGAGCACGTTTGCCGAGAAGATGGTCGATTTCGAGATCGCCGTACGTACCACCTGGCCATATCTCCCCAGACATCGCCGAACCATAATGCTGACTCCATGTTCTTCTAGGTTGAGAACGAAGCCGCCCGCGCCAAAATCCCATCCAAGCAGGGCTCCTCCCCCGAGCAGACCTCTGTCCTCGAAGAATCCATCCTCAAGCTCTCCGCGCAACTCTCCACCATCTCCCGCAACCAGAAATACTTCCGCACGCGCGAGAACCGCAACTTCAGCACCGTCAAGAGCACCGAGAAGAGGATATTCAACTTCAGTTTGATGGAGTCGGGCTTGATTATGACCATGGCAGGACTGCAGGTCTTCATTGTCCGCTTCTTTTTCCAGGGCGCCAGGAAAGGTATTATATGACAGCTCTCTCATCATGAGAGGAGTTTGGGGCACTGTGGGCTGACGCGTGTTGGCAGGCTACGTATAGACGCTGGTCCACGTTCAAGACTGGGGCTCAACCATGGTTCGGACTGGAAGTCTGAAGATGTCATATTGATTATTGTCACACAGGTCGAGACGAGAGCACTTTGTTTGATTTACCTATTTTGGGCGCTTTGGGGCTGCCGGAGTGTGTAAAACACCGCGGCATCTTTGTGGTATTCTGGCGCACTAGCAAGGTTACAAGAATTTCGGAACGATGTGCAAGAGCTCTCCACTTGTTGAGATCCTTGGATTCGGTACAGCATGTGCTGACAAACGTGCCTGCATTGCTATCTGTCCCTAGGCGAACCCGCGCGCACTTCCCTCTAAGTCGCTTGGAGGCCCGTGCTCCCCCACTCACCTTCCCGCATACTAGCTCAATATCGATATCGTTGGAATCGTAAGTTTTGCAAGACTATTATATGTAGGTCCCTTTGCGACTAATTGTTTCTTCAACCTCCTGGACACTGCCAGACTCTTGGGATTTCGGCGTTAAGGGACTTGATCACTGGACCCTGAATTCTGTGGTCGACGACTTTCGGGCAGCCAGTAGCAGCGCGGCCATTGCTATTCCCTCTCACTCTCACTTGTCCTTCCGCTTCTATTGTGGCCGGCCGTCCGATCGAGTCACCTGTTCTCGCAAGATCTCTCGCTCCGTTCGGTTAGGTGAGCGTGGTAATGCGCACACAGAGGCCATATAGTCTGGCTTTTTCCGCCTTGTTACCTTCTTTCAACTTGAACTCTCACATCCCGCCATCTTGACTATTACAACCCTCTATTTTGATCACCAGCACCCACAACCTTGAGTATTTTCATCCGCTACTCTCATCTTTACAACCCTTTACCTTTGCTCTTTCAGCCCACACCAGTTGCTCGTCATGGCAGCAAACGACGACACCGTCAGGCGCGATTCCGTGAATAGCTACACCAGCGGCCCGCAAACCCCACAGGGCGCACTCGGTCGCTATCAGACTCAGACGCGCCAGCAAATGAGTCCGCAGATGATGGCCCAGTACTTGCGCCCTCTGGCCATGTCAACTCAGTCACAGTCGCCCCCAACCACTATGCAAGCGCAGCCTCCCACTTCCGAGGAGGCTCAGGCACGCCTGAACCGCCAATTTGCCCTGTTTGGAATGGCCTACTTCCAGAGGTTGGACCCGCAGGCAAAGCAACAGTTCCAACAGTTGCCTTCCCAGAAGCAAAACGAGATCGTTAGGAACGCGATCGAGAAACGTAAACAGCAAGAGATTCAGAAGGCGCGCGAGCAGCGGATGGCGCAACAACAAGCAGCGCAACAACAGGCAGCACATCAACAGGCAGCGCAACAGGCACACTTCAAGAACTTCGTACAGCAATACGTCAACTCGTTCAATCCTGAGCGATCGCTCCAGTTCAGACAGTTGCCCGAACTGCAGCAAGGGCTGCATCTTCGCAATGTCTACAAGCAAAGAATGCAAAACGCACGGCAGCTACATCAGCAGAAAATGCAACAAATGCAGCAGCATCAACCAGCCCGGCAGCTACAGCAGGTGTTGCAGCCGCAACAGCTCGCGCAACAGCCTCAACGTATTCTGCAAGCTCCACAAGCTCAGCCACATCGACAGCCGCAGGCGCAACGTATTCTGCAAGCTCCACAAGCTCAGCAAGATCAGGAGCCGCAGACACAACGTATTCAGCAAACACAACCGGCGCCTCAGCTGAAGCGGCCTCGTTCTGACGACGATGAGCCAAGCCCAGCCATCAAGGTAGCCAAGGTCGCGCAGCCAACTACAGAGCAGCAGCCGAAGAACACAGAGGATCCGGACGATCAGAGACTGAGCTCACAACCTGGCTCGCTTCCAAGCAGGCTGAGGAAGAAGCTCAGAAGAGCGAGCAGTCTGCGGAATTGCACTGGCAGATGAAGCACGCTGGCCCTTACCCTGGCTATGAACCTGCGAAATCAAACATCTCCGACAACTCGTTCTAAGACTATATCACCACATCCGTTCGAGGCATGCTTGGACACCCTCATGGCAGGCCGACACACCTCACTCTCACACTATTGTCGTTTACCTACAGGACATCCTGATCGGCGTCTGGATACCTCGCGGTCTTTGCATTCGGTGTTTGGCTGCAGGATATCTCGACCAGCCTCTGGATACACTTTTCCTCTTTGCATACGGCGTTTGATTATCTGCTGCACATTACCACACTGGGCGGAAGCGGTGCACGGAAGAACACAGCAAGGCGTTTGGTCAATCGCATTACGATACCATACTGGGCGGAAACTGTTCACGGAAGAACAAAGCACGGCGTTTGCTTTTCTTCATTTTCCTTCATCTTTTTTTTTTGCGTTTACTTCTGCGTTCGACGACATTACCATCACACATTTCACGGGCTGCATCATCGCTAGTAGCGTTTGCAGCTTTGCGGCTAAGCGACGCGAACGCAGTTGCATGTTCATCATCATCATCAACATTATCACCGCGGCCGCTTGATGTAAAGGGCGCTATTATCAACACGGAAACGGGGGACGAGGAAATAGACTAGAAAATATACGATAAAACATTCACCACATCTTGCTCTGCTATGACTTCCATCCTCGTCTTGACCAAATTGACTAACACTATCTGAACCTATCGTCATCCGTTCAGCAACATGCCCGACCAACGCGCCCATCCGCCCCTCTTCCTCCTACCTCTCGTAATCGCCCTCTCTTTGCTTGAAATCCTATTCGCGGTCAGCCTTGCTGGTTCTATCTCCTACTATATCATCGAGCGCATGCTAGTGTATACTCAGGATTTTCTACACCCAAATCAGCCAGATGATGGAGAGCATGTGTCGCGGTTTACGAATGTGGATAGGGGTTTGATAGCGTTCTGGCTGCCTGTTGTGGTTGTGTTGATTTTCAGGGTGCTTCTGATATGGGAGAAGCAGATGGAATGAGAGAGTGGGAAGGAAGGTAGGCGTAGGCCTTGTGATGAATGAAGTGGGTGGGTGGTGCGGGAAGATGTGGTTGAGTTCAGTTGTTATTGGGTACTTGCGACGGCCTATGCGTTCGTAATATCTTCTCGATAGTTTGATACTTGTGATGATTAATTGAGTCTGTTGGACAGTGGCTTTGTGAGTCTTAGCGAATGGCCGTGTTGATCGTGACTGTATAGTGCGATGTAGCGAACAGCCCTAATTTGCAATGCCAAACAAATCCTGTATGCTCGCCAAACACTCTGCGAAGCGTTCGTTTCCACTGTCGGAGTACGCAATTAGTAGACGTGGCCTACGAGCGCACCAATCTAGACCAGCGCATTTTACTTTGGACGTGTATATAGAAAGTCCTTCTGCCTCACTGCGATGAACCCAAGTAGAAGGTATCACTATATCAATATACTTCCTCGAAGCTCATAAGACAACACCATCCAACATGCGGTCAACATACTTCCTTATCGAGCAAACCGAGCTTCACAATTTCCTTCGTGAACTGGATGCTTTGCATTCCTGGGCGAGGAACATGGCAGGCCTCAGCACGTCCATCACGGCGCAAGCCCCGCTGGGAATGCCCGCAGCCCGACCAGGACCGCATTATTATGGAATCGAACGTCCAAGACGGCCCGACCCATTTGCCGCTTCAGCTTGGTATACACCTTCTGAGGATGAATACCGTACAGCTCCGCCAGCTCCAAGGCCACAGACATTCCAGCACAATCACAACTTCAATCAGCCTTTCGGTGGAATGGGCCAAGGGTATGGTGGTTTCGAATATAGGGAGCGCGGGCATATGGGATATGAGTTTCGTCCACCCTCACCTGGTTTAGGAAGGCGAGGTGCAAGTTCGACGGGTATGTGTCGGGATCAATCGAGGGGTGAGGCGCGTGCAAGAGCCGCGTGGTCAGTGCCGATGCAGAGTGGACCACATCGCACACCGGTGATTACTCGAGCGCCAAACAATCCACGCACACCGCAAAGAGGTGCAATATTTGTCAGACGACCTCGCCGGGCGAGGCCACAGAGAAATGCGGAGAATGCGGAGGTCATGGGTGATAGGACTGAGGACGAGGAAGAGGAAGATGAAGAGTATGTTGAAGAAGAGCACCAAGGGATTGATCATGAAGGTGAAGCTCGCTGAGATGAGATTGTTCTGTAGTCGCATGACAGTCGATCGCGCTTGTGAATTGATTATGTGTTGTCGCGGTCCCTACATTATTAGCTAGTGCAAGATGTTCATCGAGAAAAGTACGTACAGATGCTGCTAGGCTTTGCCCTTCTACACAATGTGAAATGTGCGAAGATTAGATGCGGTACTTTGACTATTAGATTTGACAAGCTCAGGTACCCAGCAGTCACCGACGACCGTCATAGCCGGATACTGAGATGGTCCAATGTCTCCATGTATCGGCTTGATATCTTGCTCAACTTCGACCGGACGTAGTGCCATCATGGAGTCGCACCCTGGCATGCTCACAAGGCAATCGCCAACTTGTATTGAGTCGGGTCCCAAGCCGAACTGCCCTGCGTCGGTAAAGAAGCATGATCGGCCTCTCCTTGTGTAAATGAGTCCCATATTTCTTGCTTTCGTTCGCAAAACTTCCTCATCAAGTCTTTGCGTACTGTATGTTCCCCAGCGGCGGATTATCTTTTCACTGAGTAATGGCCGCTCTTGTACATGGGCAGAGGGTTGAGAGTTCGCCAGATCTTCAATAAGTATCGCTCTCAGAGTACAACACAAGACCACTTCATCCATCAATGTCAGCTCCGACATCGCGATCTTGTGATGTTGGGCGAAAACATTACCCCACCTGTACAGGGTCTCGTCTTCTCGTTCGTATCTGAAACCTGGGTTGCCTGGCAAATCTACAACCCTGCTGATGACGCCGCCAAAGGTGGCTTGTATCGTGAGCAAACTTTTTGTAACGCTAACCAATACCCCTTCTCCTGGCAACGTCGGGCATTGCATCTTGAGAGAAGACTGAAAAGGGCTGTGTCGCATGGGCAATCTCCAGTCCGGGATCCAAGAGGCTGCTAAGATACCGAAGGCCCCAGCACAGCTCATGATGCCCATTGGATATCGGACCACTTCGTTCTGGCTCAAACGAGAATATAGCTCATTCGTTGATACTTCATAGTCAACTGGAATTGAGGTCAAACTGAGACTTCTCAGTGCGTATATCCTGTCGCGGCCATCTGCACATTCGGTAACAGAGTACCGTGTCAAGAGTGTCGCCATACTCTCCGCATGAGCTACGGTATCATCCGTTCGAAGACCGGTAGTATTTTACCCAGCGCCTAGTAAACCATCCAGTCTCGAGGAACTTCATTGCACGAGTGATGTCGTCGTCCTCCCCAGTGAAGAAGTATTTATTTGGAGGCCCGACCTTGAACGCTTGCAAATCGTGTCCGGGTTCTCCGGTCCAGATCAGCACATTCGTAGCACATGCGTAGATTTTCCCCATCATGGTAACCTGCTTTCCTTTCTCGTCATTATCCGCTTGATTGATGCATATAGCATCTATCCACAGGGTCCGGGTAGTACATCCTGGGGCAATACCGTCCCTCAGATACCCCAAGATCTGGGTAACATTGCGACGGACAAGCAAGCGAGAATCTTGCGCAACAAAGATGTAAGCCGAATCCAGATCTGTGCCCCACGTATAGGACAAAGCTTCGTAGCCGGTCGGGCCATCGGTATTCGAGGCATCGTACGCCCGCTCGACGAGATCTACGTGTATGGGATCGTCGAACTGCGCCGCTGGATACAACTGTATGAAGCGCGAGTTGTCATCTTCCACGAGTGGTCGGTACTGATAGTCCTGAATAGCCGTCATGTCGCAGGCTCTGCGTCGTTGTCGAGGCAATGCTGTCGCGATTGCTCGAGAGAATCAGGCTGGCCTGAGACTGTCGTTCCCTGGTGGAGGGGCTGTGCAAGACACATGATTGGCGAACGCCTGCAGCCGAGCTGCTTCCTTTAGGCGGCCAGACTTATGCGGCGTGGCATTCGTCCGCGCAAGACTCCAGCGGAATGACGAGCGCAACGAGCATTGCGTGGCATTTGATTTGGTAGGGGGAAACTCGCATGACGAGAAGTCGGGGCGCGTTCTAAACCTGGATCCGACGTATGGATTCGGTGTACGTATCATACATGTGGATCCTTTGTAACTATTCTATGTAAGGTGTCTATGTACAGAATCTACATGCGTAGCCTTTTTGTTGTTTCGATGCTTTGAGCTATCTCTAGATAGGTGAACGTGCGTGCACGTTTACCTCTACTATTTGCAAATAACGCAGCCTATACACATAAGTTACCTGGTGCGTAATGTAGTGTCACAACACGTCGAAGCTGACGTTTCGCGTTGCTCGATGTTTCATTGTCCTGTAGTCGCGTTGTTTTGATTTTCGCACCGGCCCGTAAGCCTCCCTACCTCACACAGCAGACGCGCTGCGTTTGCATTAGGTATCCTAGAGCTACATTCGTCACCCTTCCTTTTGACGCGTCTTCCATGCGCGGAATTGTTGACCGCGGATGTGGAGATGGGCGCCCGGGCCATAGCCACACGCGCTAACCGAATCTGTAGATGACATCACCACACACTTCGGCGCTCGCGCTTTAACGTCTATCCAGCTCGGACACATCATGTCAGCGATCGGACTTCGGTGCATACTTAGCTTGCCCTGTATGGATCTGGAGGCCTGAACAAGGATCCAGCAGTGTTGCCAGTCGACATTGTGTGTATTGGCTCATCGAGCTACACTGGTTGCAGCATAGGAGCACCTCCTTGTCTATGCATGGGCGGAGTTAGAAGGTTACGACCGAATACCGACCGCATGCCTCCCAAACATCGATATTTCCTAATGTACCTCAAGAGGTGCATAGGAGGAAGTCACTCCCAAGTATTTAAGTGACAATATGACACGCTTCTGTGTTCCTCACTCTACGTAGGTACCGATAACCACAAGATCCTCATCGCCCTCACACTTAGCGATATGTCATTGCTATCCAAACTCAAGAACATCGCCGTAGTCGGTGCCAACGGCAACGTCGGTTCATACATTACCTCCGCCCTCCTTGCGAAGAACCATTTTAACGTCACCGCCGTCACGCGTACGGAGTCCAAGGCCACTTTCCCATCCGGCGTCCACGTCGCACGCATCGACTACGACAGCCCGGATACCATTGTCAAAGCTTTGACTGGACAAGATGCGCTCATCATCACAATGAGCGTGTTCGGTGGTAATGCGCAGGAGAAGCTCATCCGCGGAGCAGCTCAAGCCGGCGTACCATGGATTCTACCAAACGAGTTCGGCATGTACAACACGGAGGAGATCCAAAACGAAACCATCGGGCCTGGCAAGACGATCGCTCGCAAGCTCATCGAGTCGCTCGGAGTTTCTTCTTGGATAGGCGTGACCTCTGGCTTCTGGTATGAGTACTCTCTCAGCGGCGCTTACTTCGGCATCGATATTCCGAAACGAGAGGTCGTGTACTTTGACGATGGAAAGCAGCGGCTGAACACTGCCACATGGCCTCAGACCGGGCTGGCTGTGGCAAACTTGCTATCTTTGCCAGTATCAGTCTCTGATGGCAACGGGCCGACACTGGAGCAGTACCGCAACCGGATGACTTTCGTATCCTCGTTCGCCCTCAACCAGCGCGAGATGTTCGAGGCGGTACAGAAGGTTACTGGCACCACGGAGAAAGACTGGAAGATTACGTCGGAGCCGTTGAAGCAGCGCTTGGCCACTGCTAGGGAGAAGATGATGATGGGTGATCGCATGTCGTTTGCGACAGCTTTGTACACGAAGTACTTTATCGATGAGGCAGGTCTGTTCGAAAGGGATCATAAGCTGAACAATGATGAATTGGGACTGCCAAAGGAGGACCTCATTGAGGCTACGAAGCGGGCCGTGGATCTGGCGAATACCAATTTTCACAAGCAGATGTACTCATGAATAGTCATAGCTTTAGTAGCGCTACGCCAATGTATGTCAGCATCTTGTCCATACCGCTTAGAGACATCTCGTTTGTTAGACTTTGCAATTTTCTATCTATTCTCTTACTACTACGTCCGTATTAGTCGAACACAATGGCAGCCTTGACAACCTCTTGTTTCCTCACCGCATCCAGGCACTCTTCCCACTGCTCGATTCGATACGTCTTGTTCGCAATGCCGCCCAACTTCAACCTCCCAGCATTCACATACTCCAAGACATGCGGTATGTGACTCATGCTGCAGAAGCTAGCCAGAATCGTGATCTCGTTCTCCCAAATCCGGAAGGGCGACCATGCAATCTTGACGCTCTCGTCGTATACACCGTAAACAACTAGCTTGCCGCCTTTCCGTACGTACTCGATGGCCTTTTCGAGTACAGTGGGTGCGCCGGTGGCCTCCACGACGATGTCGAAGCCGTAGGGGTTATCGGTCGAGAGCGCGGCCATGTCATCTCCGGGATTATCGTCAGATATGGTGATGTAGGAGTCAGCAATGTTGAGTTCGCGCGCGAGATCGAGTTTCGGGCCGCCTTTTGAAGCGATGGCCAACTAGGCCGTGTCAGTAGTTACGCGCAACCTTTGGATGTGCTGCATACATGAGCAGCGCCATTCATCTTGATTAACTGAGCCAGTAACATGCCCGTGGGTCCGCATCCGAAAAGCAGTACTCTGCTGCCGACCTCCATCTGCATTCTCTCAATACCATGGGCTGCGCATGCGGCGGGTTCGAGCAAGACGGCCTCTAGATCCGGTAGGTTACCAATAGGGAAGACCATACGGGCTGGGTATCTGCAGTACTCTGCGAAACCACCCGGAACATTACCGCCATACCCGATGACATTCTCACAGAGTTGGGTCTTTCTACGCGTGCAGTAGAAACAGTTCAGGCATGGCTGTAAGGCATCGGCTGCTACGCGGTCACCGACCGCGACGTTATGAACGTTCTTGCCGATAGCGGCGACAGTGCCTGCTGCTTCGTGACCTGGGAAGGTGAGTGAGGTGTATGAGAAAGTAAACGATCGCTCGTACCGGGTATCAAAGGATACTTCAAGAACATCAGCTTTGCCCAATACATAATTTCCCAATGATCTCACCTTTGCTAGAAACTCGCCTTTGCTGCAGATGTGAACATGCCGAGTCAGTGCATGCGTCGCAAGCTTTTCGGATCCGGAGCTTACTGGTAATGCAAATCCTTCAAGGTGGTCAGTATGATGTATACCCAAAGACTTTCTCCAATTCTTCTACTTACTGTTCCGCATACACCGCAGGCTGAGATCTTGACCTTTCGTGTGTTAGTGCAGCAAATACCGCGGGGTGATGAATAGTGTGTCGTACAAGAACATCGTCATCACCGATTGTTGGAACATCGATAGTCTCGACTGCGAATTTCTCGGGGCCAGAGTATCTTGATTATCTTAGCAATGAGACATCGTAGGTCACGCGCCGAGCATGCCTACTGTAATGCCTTCATCTTGGCAGGCACGTCGAAGCGTTGACGCTTGCTCAGTTCCGCATGGCCGTTCATGATGGAGATTTGTAAGAAGATGGATTCTGGTCAACTGTCTGAAAGAACATCGTAACTTATCGCTGCTTATAACCAAGTTCAATTGCTCGTTGAAATGGTCTCGACGCGAGCGCTGGCTAGACGCGTGTGTGTACACGGTAATGCGGGGTTCGGCAAACCTTCCCTAGAATTACACACCACGGACTACTGCATCGGGAAAAGTTGAGAACGACTACACATTATGCTTGCCCGGCCGTCTAACTTTTGTTGTGAGCATTGCATTCCTTGCCGATCGATGATTTCGCGTTAATTGCGAGTGTTTAAAACTCAACACGACGGCACTACAAAGTATGCGTCACACTCCCGCCTCCGTTGTTACTGGCTTGTGGGGCTGGGACAGTGCGCCCGCAAGTTTCTCATGGATGATGTGACCGCAGTCACAATTACGAAGCAGGAAAGGTGGTATTCATTAGAGCGCAGTATTATTCAGTGGAAAATAACACGAGAATACATTCCACATCTTCAAGATGGCGCGCGGACGCTGAATCCACTTAGTGACAATCGTGATCTTTCGCTGCCAGCATGTTTGTTTGTTCATCAAACAGCCGGTGGACTGAACACTCTGGCACCGGAGAGAAAGGGGTTAGTACTCATCTGAATCCCGATGGATGGAACAGGAGGATAAATCCATCTCTCCTCATCTTTCTCTTACCTCGCTGCTATTTCAGGTCACTGGTGCATTCTCCAGCATCGGCGTTAACGCTGACGCGGGTCTGGTATACTTCATAAGTAGAAAAAGCGATCGAGAATCTGCGAAAGTCTCGTGGCGACCAAACGTACCACGATCGAGAGACCTACCGGTTTTGCGAAGTAACGCTGACTTTGCATGGGGCTTCTGGAATCGATTGCCTCACGATACTCCAATCAAAGCTTTTTTTTTGGAGTCTGAGTGTCGACAATGAGCAGACTTTGGGCATTCTGAACCTCGCCGTCAAGACCTATAGGCCGCCACCGTGGCACACGAAAGTGGACAGTATCCAGGAATGGCCAGGTACTGACTTCGACATCACCTCTGTCGAAGCCGTCGCTATCTTAGGTATGTCCAGTGTGTTCGGCATGAAAGCTATTGCCATACCCCTGTTATTGATGGGGAAAGCTGTAGGGATACAGCGCTGGCAGACTGTACTGCAGGTTCTCCGAGCGGTGTAGCAGTCGGCTTCTTCCTTGCCCAGCACAAACAGCAACGAGGAGGTGACAAGATGATCTCCAAGATCACAGTCTTCAAAGCGCGGCAACCCGTTACGGATGACGATTATCCGACCCTGATCTTTTGG